CCCCAAAACCCCAAAACCCCAAAACCCCTAAAACCTTAAAAATAGAATAAATTTACAACTAATTTTGAATATGGATAAAACTGGGGGTTAACAAGAAATTTGTCCAAGACTATTTGTTAGATAACAAGGATATTGAAGAAGTCAGTAAGTTAGGGTCTCTTAGATCTAGGAAGCAAGAAGAATATATCTGGTGGCAAGAGACAAGATAGTAGCCAGTTTATAGCAAATGAGATGAACTCTGATCTCATCTCAAGGATTAAGAGTGGAGGTCATCACTTACTCTTGAATAACAAATTTGACTGTAAGGACTGGTAGTTAAGTATAGTAATTTCTGATACCCTAACTTACCAAGACAAGCTGAATTATTTGTAAGTTTTTGGCAGAGTAACGAATCAACTTTTCTAGAATCGGATGTTATAACAATGCAATATTTATGGAGAAATCCATGAATTTTGAGGACAAGCAATAAAGACCGATAAAGAGCATAACATCATCCTAAGAAGAAGCACAAATATCCAAAATATTATGAAAGTCTGGAACAGGTCTCATTCAACTATGCCTAAAGGTATGCTCCTCCTTACCTTTTAGGATACTTAAAAAATATGAAAAATGAAGAAGACAAGAAAACTGTAAGAAGAATTTTCTCCCTCAATCATCTTAAAATACAGAAGCCACAACCATGCAAAAGGAAGAAATTTTACAGTCTAGAAGCTGTAAAATAAATGGAAAAAGATAGCAAGTAAGTCTACATCTTATCTCTAGATTTGATCACTGACAATAATGACGAGAATTTCCAGAACTTAATCCGAACCTGAGTCAAGATGAAAGAGGCCAACCCAAGTTTGAAATAAAGGTACTCTTCCTCTGACCATAGACCGGCGGAAGACTAGCAGCAAGCGTAGGAAACGTGCAAAGGTACTTAATCAGAATGAAATGGCGAAGATTGATAACTTGCTCAAAGGCAAGAAGTCCTTGGTTGTACTAGATTCTAGCAAGCATCAATCTTCTAAGAACAGCTTACGCATGAACACTTTGACGTTCCTAAACCAGCAGAAGTAAGCAGTAGATTAATTTTATAGAATTTTTGAAAAGGAAATGGACACCCCTGCAAGCAAAGAAGGCTCAAAAGGTACTTTATACGTGTCATTAATACAGGCTCTGATAGTTGCCTTGAGAAAGAACTCGTGTCCGAAGGATCCTCCAAGAATTATATCATTAAGCTCAACCAGAGTACTGATCTAAAAGGAGAAGTAATCAAGATGAAGCATAAATAAGCCAAGAAAGCGATCTAAAAATGAGCCGAAGCCTCTTAAATTTAGCAAATTACATACATATTCTCCAGTGAAAGGAAGGAAGCCATTAGAGATAGGTAAAATTTATAGCTTCTTTATTTTCTTTCTTTAGATAATTATTTCTAAACGTGTATCTTATAGATTCTCTTGGTACAACTCCAGATAAAGATGATAAGTAAGTTTGTAAATATTGTTAGAGGAGTAATAGTAGAAATATAAGCTATCCTTTTTGACTTCATTTGAATGTTGGAATAAACAACTTAGTTAGTTAAAAAATTTAAATCTAAATTTAATATTTTTATATTTTCTTAAATGCAAAATAAATTTGTCAGTACCTAACCAAAGAAACCTGTTTAATATTCTTGAAATTTGATAAAAATCAATATTGCTTATCTATCTGAGTGATTTAATATCGAAAAGAAAACTACCAAAACAATCTCTACACATCAAAATTTCAATTCTCTAACAAACTCCATCCAAACCTCCCAAATTCCAACATATATACCCCCTCCATTCCTCTCACCCCCACTTCCTTAGCCTCAACGACTACGGCCAAGACCTGTCCCTACCTCCATCCCTCACCCACGACCAAATCTCCAACCCCCCAAACAACCCTCTATCTCACTCCAAACAACTTCACACCCACGCTACTTTCCTCTCTACATCCGTACGTCCTCTCCTCACATTGAACTGAACAGTACCCAAAATCCTCTTCCTCCCTTGAAATAATTTCCTTCTAGGGATCCTATCTTCGCTGAAGCCCTGGCTGGGCTGGAAGAGTAAAATTGAAGGAACTGCAAAAGGAACAGAAGGGAATTGAGACAAGTGAGGTAGAGGGAATTTTTAAGACGAGCGATGACCATATCTCAAAGAGAAATGTGATGATTAAGAAGTTACTGAATAAAGAAATACCAAGGTAAAGGAATTAAGGTTTAGATGTAGATGTAAGAAGAGGAGATACTCGAAGGTAAGGGAATAGGGATAGTGGAGCTTTAGTTTGAGAGAGGAATTTGTTCGTAACGTAATCGTTATTAAGATATATCTATAATTTTATTCGCTCCTGTTCGATATAACATAAAACTATACAGATACATCCAAAGAAACTTTTAATTTCACCTTCTACAAGCTCTTGCCTGGAAACTAGTAAGTGTCTTTAATTTTTTTAGTTAAGGACCGAAGAGAATATTTAGTTAAAAATATACACAGATTCATGTCGAACAAGGAAGTTTGCTTCTACTGTAAAGAAATCAGTTGATTATGTGAAAAAAGACAAAAAATTACAAAGGTAAAGTACAATTTTTGTATCTACAAAAAGAGAGTTCTCAACTATTAATATCTTATTTCCCATTTCATTATCCTATCAGCATCACTAAACCCCTACAAACCACCTCTCCACCCCTATAACCCCTCTCTGCTAACCTCCCATAGCCCATCCCCCTCCGCAACACCTCAAAAACCCTCTCTTCCATCTACTCCCCAATCCCCTAACCTAAAATCCCTAAAAAATCCAAATTCCTTCAATTTTCCCTATTTTCCACGGGGTTTTGGGGTTTTGGGGTTTTGGGG